TTACCTTGTCATCTCTTACAGGTTTAAAACCGACAACTCAGATAAGAATCTGAAGTCGCCAAAATCCAAAAAAAAAAAATAACTAATAATCGTATAAAAATTACCACTACAGTCTGTTATTTGAAATTAGCATCTTCAACTATGTAAATCGTTGACTTCACGTAGAAGTAATACTAAAAACATATAGTCAAAGTACATAACTCTGGATGGGAGCATACCATCAATTACTGTCAATGGTCGAAAGGTACAGTAGCAGCACCTACCCCACCCGTGTCCCCTCGAGATCGTCAAGTCGACGATGACAGGAGCACATATCGTGGTAGGGGTAAACAATAGTTGCAATTTCCAAACCTACGACTGGATGCCTTCCTTCAAATAACAACTGAAGTGCGGTAAAAAATCGGTGGAACTGTTTCAAACACACAGTTGGTACTTGAGCGGGTCGGTTTTCATCTCTTTTTGCCAGTGGTGGCGGGGGGGGGGACACCCCTCACCATCCCTCTCCAAAGGGGGAGTTTGGTAAAGAGAGATGAAAAAACTGATTTGTACCTTCCTTAAAAGTTGTTCTAGCTCGCTATTCTAATATCTATATGCAATCTTCACACTGCCGTACTCTAACGGAACTATCAACTCTATGCTTTCATCTACTCCATCTATCGTATAAAAAATTACCACTACAGTCTGTTATTTGAAATTAGCATCTTCAACTATGTAAATCGTTGACTTCACGTAGAAGTAATACTAAAAACATATAGTGAAAGAACTAATAATTGTTTGTTGGGTATTGACCCAACAAACAATTTGACTTGGTTATTTTTTAGCTGTAGAAGCACATTTTTGCATGACCAGCTCTTATTCAGCTTTCCATGTTTGTTGGGTATGGCCCAAACTTTTAAAACTGGCTATAAAATACCAAAATGGCCTTGAAATCCAATAGCTGTCCTTGGAAAATTCTTCAAACTTATTCTGGAACATTTTTTTCCGAATCCTTTAGAAGATCGTCAGATTCCGTTGCAAATTTCTTCAAAATCTCGTAGAAAATCTGTTTCCCGGGAAGTTGGAAAAGATTCCCAGGAATCAGAAATCGTGCTTTTTGGTTAATTTCCCAGAAGGTTCCGAGTAGGAAATACTGCTCTTGATTATAACTTTTAATACGACATTATTAACTGCATCACGGCTCCGTATAGCTATTTTGGGCATTTGAGCATTTGAGCAATTGAACCCAGGCCCTTTGAAGTGAGAGGTGGTCATGCGTACCAATACACCACTGGTGCCACTGCTCCCGCAGTGCCAGGAGATTCAAGAGTATAAGAAGTTTTCAAACCATCTGAAGCCCTAGTAACGTTCAATGTTTCAAAGATCCTGAAATAAGATCCAAAAACTTCATAGACTTTCGAGAGGATGCTCCGAGACTCTACAAACTAAAAAAAGGTCCAAGAAAAATACATCATAGCTCTTTTAGTCGTGGTTCATACAGATCTCTTAGTCGACTTCGGCATTTTTCGCAATTCCAATAGTTTTCCGGGACTTATAATATTCCCGTAGTATTGGATTTCCTAAAGTTACTGATGGTTTTGAAGAGCATGAAATTTGTGAGTTCTTTGTTGTTGTTGTTTTTGCTGAACTATCGTAGAATTCAAAGCGATTCGAAAATCCTCGGACTACTGACAACAAGAGATAGAAATAAAGGTTTCTTAAGCAAAGTTATCATCTCAGCTACAATTGTACTGAAGAACATGCATTATTACTTTCAAACATAAAAGGTTAGTTTTTCTAAAACTATAATTTCAGAAACAGCCTTATTTTTTAAACGAACAAACGAATTTAAGCTGAAGTCGATGCTACACCTCTAAAACTTAAGATAAATGCACTAGGACTTTTATCTTGCTGAATTGCCATTCTGGACCACTGCAAAGTGGTCCAGAATGCAGATTTAGCTGGAAGGATATGTTTTGAGCCTGAAATTGAAACTATAGACTAAAAATCTCTTCTCAAAAGTTGTTCTTTATAGCTAGGCCCTTATTTTTATGACAATGAATTCTAGGGTGGTTCTTATTGTCATTGAAATCAAAAATCTAGCTTTCTTGTTTGAAAAAATTAAGTTATACATTCTTCGGCAAAGTAATAGCTGACTTAGTTTCAAGCAACTTTGTAAAAACTGAGATAAATTCAAGCAACTCTTAAAGTTCTCGTTTTAGAGTAAAATTTCGGAGTTGACTTAGGGTGTTTCTGAAAAAAAATAGTTATTTAGCTCTAACTTTTTTATTTCAACAAATTTCTCATGAAAGTCATCTTCTAGAGACTTTTAAAGCTCTTTAAGACAAATGTTTATAGAATGCCTGTTGCCTGTATCTCTTCTTATAAAAAAATATTACCAATTATAGTATTGAATATGAATAAATTCAAATTGATTTTATACGAGTTTTAAAAATACCATACCTCTATTTTTCATATTATTGTGAATAACATACGCCGTTAATTTTTTTTGCCCCAACCAAAGATATTAACATTAGACAAGGGCATATTTTTAGTAGAAAAACTTCAATAACTCTTGATTGGCGAAAGATATCGAAAAGCTCTGTGCAGCACCTTTTAAAGATCTAAAAGTTATTCGAAAACACCTTTGCTGAGAAATTTGAAATGAGAAAACTAGAGCAAAACAAATGTTTTTGTTTTTAGAAGCACCCTTACTCAATTGAAGAAAATCGCTCTAAATCGATCAATTCATGAGATAACACACTTTTCAATTTCAGGCTCAAAACTCACCCTTCCAGCTAAATATGCATTCTGGACCACTGTGAACTGCCCAAATAACATTGCAAGCTTTATAGAGGTTTTATAGCATTCTACAAGTCTAAATCATGGTCTACAGAACCCTCATAAAACCAAAATTGTTACTTAGGTGTGCAATTAACAGTGAGCCAGAAAAGAAATCTAGCAGGAAAAATTAATAACGCTCTGAGATTGCATCCAATTGTGGAGATGTCATCTGAGAAGTTTCTTGGATTAGTTAGGACTACAATTTGGTGGATAAAAATAGTTTAAGTTTTGGCCGCAAAGATGGCGCAGCGATACAAACTTTATTATATCGCAAGAAAGAGGTTTCCTGTCTTCTACAAAGTTGTTGAACGTTTTACGAAAATCTACCTTACACTTAAAAGCTTTACATCTTCAAACATCTGAGACATATGTAGTTTAATCAAATTTACCTGAAATTCACGTTTTTAGTATTATGTTTAGAACAATTGTTGAAAAGGATACTAGGAGAAATGTTGGCCTCGACAATACCTTAACCTATTATCGTCAGGGGGGTAAACAACGTCCTTAAGAGCTCAATTTTGACATGTGGATACTTTGTGTTCCACAGCATCTATTGGCTAAATTTGAGTGCTCTAGGACTTTGTTTACCCCCTGACGACAATAGGTTACGGTATTTCCGTAGCCAACATTTCCCCTATTATAATTTTTCCTCAATCGGTACTGATTGATTCAAACTTTTTTGGATCAATGCTATTATTTTTGGAGTTCTGAATAATATATATATGACATGAAATTTGAAGACAAAATCATGATTATCTGAATGAATTTGCTAAAAACTGCGTAAGTGAGCGTCAATCAACTTATTCAAAATGCACATCAAATAAACTATAAAATGTCTCAGAGATACATTGTGATACATTTGAGATATTTGAATTTGAATCATTCAATATATTCATATGTATATATAAGATAATTTGATTAACAATTAAATAAAATCTTCATTTCCTTCACTCCTACGCACAACGGTTCAAAACTCCGTGGGAACGTGATAAACATATAAATATGATGACAGACGAGCTAGTATTTATTTGATCAATCAAACACATGGACCGATTTTGAGCCAACGTTTTATGAAGGTGATGGAGACCCTGATTTAAACGTTTCGAATGCTTTAAAACCTTGATAAAAGTAGCAATGATACTCGGGGGCTCACACATACTAACTGATTACAGGAAAATCTCTTAATAATCGATAAAATTATGTCTTGCGATTTGAAATGTACATCTAATGCAGTGTTATTGACGAGCTAGATATGCAATTGTATCGATGTTCGTTTCATTATTTGTGACCACTGTGCGACTTATTGGTTCAAGAGTTTAACTTTTTTTTAATAGTTCATTTGGGTCGAGAATGCAAGTACTACTCAATCCTGTTCTTTCAAGAAAATATTGAAAATATTCCATTCTTTAATATAAAAATATTTCAAAAAAAATCATCGCAAAATTTGAAGGGTTTGAAATTTGTTTAAATTGATTGAAATATTCCAGCTTCAATTCCAATGCTGATATCGTTTCTTTCTTTTTAACATCACCCGAATTTCCTTCTAACGCGTCTATGGAGCTGGCAGCTCTCTCAAAGAATTCGATGAAACTTCCTGGGTGCAAGGACTTAGTCCACTTAAGCAACTCTGCATAGTTTTTTTCCTCGAAAAATTAGCTTCATTAGCTGTGTCAAAGTCACTTCAATTTAATATGTGTTGTTATTATACAGCTTATTTGCAGTTCTCACTTCCATGTTGTTGTCAAATTCACATAAACGTAGTCCAGTGGCTTGATGATGCACGTTTATATTTAATTTCCAAAATATTTTGTACCATTTACAGTATATTTTTATTTGTCAGATGCATCCCATCTTTTTACTATGATTGTAATTGCTTCATCTATTACAGCTTTCTAATGGTTTCAGACATTATCCAAAAAAATATTCATCCATGTTCATTGAAAGCGGAGCTTTCCACGCTGAAATTCAATTACCGAGCTCATAACAAGAACAACGAAAATTTTACATCAACAGCTGACTCATGTTTGATACAGAAATACAATAAATTAAAACATCACACAGCATGTGTCGATGACCATTCACAGAATCAATTATCCAAATATCAATTCATTTCGTTCACTGATTTCACGGAAGCTCCTCCTTAATACATTATCCACAAGTCATATGTTGGCACTACTCACCAAAAACTTCATCATTTTGCTAGTTTTCGTTGTTTTCAAGTTTCTTTTGCAATCTCTGCAATCTCACTCAAACTTCACTACAGGTTCGAAATAATCTGCAAAGTCCAAAACAAAAGAAATCACTTTCAGTTTGAATCGTTCGCACAAACACCACACTCAGATTCGGGAAACCACCACCAGGATTGAGCAGTCACCTAGAACAATTGCTGCTTCGCTTTCAGAACACCGAATTGAACTGTCTCACTATGATCGAGCGAGCTTGCCTTTTATTAACTGTAAATTGAAGCCCCATGTGCAGCAGATCTATTTTCCCCGAAGAGCACAGCAGCATCGACGAGGATCGTCTTCTTCGTTTGTTCGAGTTGCTCTCAAATCTCCGGGGGAGAACGGCAACAGCAAAAAAAAAATTGCCACTCAGTTTTACGCTCAACTGTTTTTGCTGCATCCAAATTCATAGAATAAAGGACTTATTTAGATCTCTTGTTGTTATGTACAGCAATTATTGTTGTTATGCTACGCCGAACGGCGTGTGAGTCGACCACCCGTCAGCTCGACAGCACGTGAAAGGTAAGCTCTTGAAGGAGAGCTTCTCTGAGCTTCGAATGGAGTTAGGGGGTGGCAATTCTCACTGAGAAGCGAGAGCTTTGCGAAGATGAGACTAGCTCACCACCGACCGACCGGTTCGTGGAAATTTTCTCTGAGAGTGATCGTCCGCCTACAGACGGAGAAGGAGAGGAAGATGCTCACGCGCTTGCGAATTTGATTCTTGGAAAAGCACCCGAGGAGGCTTGGTGGTAGAATATTTCATGCAAGCTGCGCTGACGTCACTGTCACTGTTATTGAGGCTTGGCGGATTTGAACTTGACTCGAAACTGAGTTTGTCACTGGGTATCGGTGCATATGTTTGATCTTGAAGGAAGGTGTGGAAAATGCATGATTGATTGATTGAGGGAGATGAAGACCGATCTTATGGCTGGGGAAAACGACAGTTCAAGTGGAATGCTATGTCATTGTGGTATGATGTAATGGTTTGTTTGAGCTGGTGTAAATGTGAATATGATTTTTTGTAGTATTGTACCCAACGAACAGGATGTGTTTTGTGAAAATTAAACAAGAAAAAAGAAACAATTTACAAGGAACAAGAAACAAAAAAAAAAGAAACAAGAAGCAGGAAACAACGAACAAGAAACAAGAAACAAGAAACAAGATACAAGGAGCAATAAACAAGAAACGATAAACAATAATAAAAATAAGCGAAAATTAAGAAACAAGAAGCAAGAAACATAAGACGTAGTTCAATGTATTGGAAAAATAGATGGTTTTCTAGAACGCTTCATTTTCGTTGCCATGCATTTAAGTTTAATACTGATTGTGTTCTGTGTGTATATAAATATTTTTTTTTCCCTTTATTTACAAGGCTTTAAGCCATTGGCTGGTTCGCCTTGAGCTTTATAAATAGATCCTGTATTTTTTTAAAGATTTGTTAGATCTTAACCTTCTATTTTTCAATCCCGTTTTTTGACGGGGTGCATTTAAAGAGCTTGGTAAAAAATAATCGAATGTTCCAACAAATGTTATATCAATGGCTGGAAAGATACACTTTCAATTTACCACTTGCATGATTGACTTTTTTTTTGTTGAATTGTTTTCCGTACTGATTACCAATGCTACTGAAGCCAGACTGGCAGCTCCCACGCCAGGAACCTACCTATCGACCCATCAGCTCATGGACCGAGGATGAACGGCTTTACTTCCCCTTCCAAAGGAAAGCGTGATTAGTGAAAATCCCGACGGTGTCGACTGGGATTGAACCCAGGCCCTTTGGAGGGATAGGCAGTCACGCTTACCACTACACCACCGGCGTCGCTCAGTAGTAAACATTTTTTCAAAAAAATTTCAAATATTTTTTTTTTTCAATTTGTCACATTCTTGAAAATCTTTTTAATTCATGGACCAAGAAATTATTGATGATTCAAGTAAAATATGATAAAATTTCACGCAAGAAACAAGTAATTAAAAAAAATCCTAAACGTGGAAATTGCCGTGATATACAATTTTTCTGTTTATTTTTGTTATGGACTGCTGCAAAGATTTTTTTTATTATTTCACAAAACAAATCGATGTCTGGCGCTATTTTGAAATCCAAGATGGCGGCTTCCGGTTACAAAAACGCTTCGAAATTCTGTCAAGTACCCCACAATATGGGTATTTTTGGAATCGGGGTGACGTGTAGGAACCGGAAATCGATGTCTGACGTCATTTTGAAATCCAAGATGGCGACTTTCGTTTGCAGAAAAACTTGGAAATTCTGCTAAATACCCCACAATATGGGTATTTTTGGAATCGGAGTGACGTTAAGGGACTAGAAATCGATGTCTGACACCATTTTTAAATCCAAGATGGCGGCTTCCGGTAACACAAAAATTGGCAAATACTACCATGTAACCCCGATTCTTAAGATACCCATATTGTAGATTATTTAACATTATTTTTATGTTTTTCTGTAGCCGGAAGCCTCCATCTTGGATTTCAAAATGGCGTCAGATATCGATTTCTGGTCCCTAAACGTCACGTCGATTTCAAAAATACCCATATTGTGGACAGAATTTCCATGTTTTCCTGTAACCGGAAGCCACCATCTTGGATTTCAAAATGGCGTCACACATCGATTTCCGGTCCCTACAAGTCACTTCGATTCCAAAAATTCTCATATTGTGGGTTATTTGGCAGAATTTCCAAGTTTTTCTGTAACCGGAAGCCACCATCATGGATTTCAAAATGGCGTCACACATCGATTTCCGGTCCCTACACGTCACTCCGATTCCAAAAAATACCCATATTGTGGGGTATTTGATAGAATTTCGAAGCGTTTTTGTAACCGGAAGCCGCCATCTTGGATTTCATATTGGTGTCAGACATCGATTTTCGGTCCCTACACGTCACTCCGATTCCAAAAATACCCATATTGAGGGGTATTTGGCAGAATTTCCAAGTTTTTCTGTAACCGGAAGCCGCCATCTTGGATTTAAAAATAGCACCAGACATCGATTTTCGGTCCCTACACGTCACCCTGATTCCAAAAATACCCATATTGTGGGGTATTTGCCAATATTTTCAAAAACCTCTTTTTACGATGTAAATCCCAAATAACGAGTTTTCTTTTTACGAAGTAAATCCCAAATAACGAGGTTTTTTTTACGCACTAATTCGATTTATGAACCCCCGTTTCGGTTCGTGAATGGAGGTTCCAGTGTACTTGGTTTATGATTTATGGATTTTCAAAGTATGAGAACATTGAAAAAAAAAAATAGAGAAGTTTATCTTACATTTTCCAGTTCATCGTGTTTTAGTTAAATTTAAAGTTATAATAAGAACAGCCTTGTAAGCGGTCACGGTAGTTGACACATTTTCTGTGATAATTGACTGCCTTTGCCTCGGACACTTGCAAAACAAGCTATCATAGTACAGTACCAAACGAAAATGTCGTATGACAGGCTCTGTCATACGACACCGTCGCCGAAGACCGTCACGAATGTATGTATTTTAGTTTTTCTCATAATAAGAGCTGCTGATGGTGTGCTTGTGTGAATTCTGAAAATAGCAAGCAATGATGTCCTAGTAATAATATTTCTGATCAGAAATGGTTTGATTTACACCAAATTGAGGAATTACAACGAAATCACACATGTCATATGATAGCTATTTTGATAATTTTCTTTTAGCTCGAATGTTATTCTACCGCTCGTGTTGTGTGAGAGAGACGACGGTAGAGCATGAGTGTTCGAATACAAACAGACTGTCGCGCACGACAACGGAGCGAGTGTAGTAAAAAACGTCAACTGTTTCAACCCCTGTTGAAGAATGACTAACATCATTTAACACTCCGAATACGGTGGGTAAAAAACTTTACGCCGACTACGAAGCCTCCGAAAAACGTGTAACGGCAAGTTTGCAATGGCACAACTTAGCCATTTCTTAATGAATTTCAAAACTTGTGGTACTTTTAGAATTCCTAGGGTTTCTAGATGATGAAACTTGAAAATAGAGTCGTCTTCTTTTTTAAAAAGCGAAAAGAGTTGTTACACGTTTTTTTGAAAGGTGTGTTTGTAGGGTTTTGCAAGTGGCGCAAGATCTGTAATTTAGAATAATGGGCACAAATGTTCACAATTAGCCAGAATACAGTCATGGTTCCTATATATGGATCCTAGAGACAACAGAACGGTCCTCGAAAAATCCGGAACATCCGTAAAAATGGTCAATCCATGATCCTGATCCTAGAGCTCTGCGGTTTTTTTGAAAACATTAGGAACTGTGATATAAACAAATATTTGGGGTCGTGATTTAAACATGTATCTGTATGGCCATGGGACCGTCCTCCGGAAGATCCGGAACATCCGTAAAAGTGGAAAATCCATGAAACTGATCCTAGAGCTCCGTGTTTTTTTTTAACATTAGGATCTGTGATATTAGAATGAATTTGGGTCATGGACCTTGATGGCCATAAGACCGTCCTCCGGAAGATCCGAAACATCCGTGAAAATGGTAAATCCACGATCCTGATCCTAGAGCTCCGCGTTTTTTTAAACATTAGGAACTGTGATGATAGAAAGAATTTGGGGTTGTGACATAAACATGAACCTGAACGTCCATAGGACCATCCTCCGGAAGATCCGGAACATTCGTGAAAGTGGAAAATTAACTTAACTGATCCTAAAGCTCCGTGGTTTTCTTGAAAACGTTAGGAACTGTGATATTAGAATGATTTTGGGATCGTGACATAAACATGGACCCAGATGGCTATCGGAACGTCCTCCGGAAGATCCGAAAAATTCCGCAGTTTTTGAAAAAAAAACACTAAGAACTGAGATGATAGAATGAATTTGGGGTCGTGACCTAAACATGGACCTTGATGTCCATGAGACCGTCCTCTGGAAGATCCGGAACATCCGTGAAAGTGGAAAATTCTCGAAACTGATCCGAGAGCTCCGTGGTTTTCTTGAAAACGTTAGGAACTGTGATATTAGAATGATTTTGGGATCGTGACATAAACATGGACCCAGATGGCCATCGGACCGCC